TATCTATCTATCTATCTATCTATCTATCTATCTATCTATCTATCTATCTATCTATCTATCTATCTATCTATCTATCTATCTATCTATCTATCTATCTATCTATCTATCTATCTATCTATCTATCTGAGAAAGTCTTAACCTATCTAGTTTTTGGAAATTAAATTTTCTCTTGAGTAAAATGATCGGTATTGATTTTCATTGGTTTAATTGTGTAAATGTACTTACGGTTTGGTAACGTCATTGATTTTCTTAATTGGTAAAATGAGAAAATATCATTTATTTTTGACAAATGCAATATCATCAGATTTAAAGTTATTGTCATCCACGTAAAATTGTGCACACCCATTTCTACACAGGATATAATTATATGTACTTAAGAAGGTTAATGATTTGTAAATTTCATTCTGAGTAGTATCTGGTTATGGTTCTGGTAGAGTTTCGTTGCTGCATCCATGTTCTGGCATCTTTGCAAGGGTTTGGGGTATCATGTTGCTATTCTAACAGCTCCTAGCTGATGCCAGGGCAGCCCTGAAGCCTTCGACTCATGTAGAGTTCACAGTGCCATCGTTCAGGTTGTTCCATGCTATTATTGTGCGTGGGAAGAAAGATAGTTGATACGGCACTGTGTTGCACTGAGGTACTTTGAAGCATTTGCTATTGTTTCTGGTGTAATTGTTTATGGGAATGTCAGTGGGGAAGTCCGCGTTCAGTGAGTAGTTTGCTCTGATCAGTCTACCCGGCTTCTGTGGGGTGAGGTACGTGCCTGCTGGGATGGCCGGCACCAGTCCCATGATCACTTTATACAAGAATGTCAGGCGTAGTCTTGTACAACCTTGGGCAGATGAAACTACCGTATTACCCCCCCCCCCCCCTAAACCAAACAGAGTTTTAAAAAGAAAATAAACAATTATTCACGATATTGTAACCCCCTTACTTACGCGAAAAACTATTTTCTATTTCGTTTCGCATGCGTTGTTCTCATTTGGAGGAGTGATAAGTGCATTAGTGAATGATATTTCAATATGTAGTTTCGCTGCACTGATTGCATATATATATATACTTTTTTTTTTACAGACATTATGGAATACTGTTGCTGTAGCGAGCTATTCTCGCCCGGAATGAGGAGAAATTGGTGATAAATAAACGCACCCCCCAAACACGCTTACACGAACGCACAAACGAACACAACATAATAAAGCACACACACACAAACAAAAGCTGCACATTCTATTTCATAAAAAAACATACAAACTTTCAAATTCTTTTTTTTTTTTTTTTAAATAAATTTTTAGCATATGTACATAACATAAACATGCAGACACAAAAATGTATAGAACCTACAAAAGGTTGTACGTGAATTAATGGATCTAGGCCACGCTTTGTAGCCATCAGGGTTCCCAACCTTTCGTAAATTTACGGAAAATCCTAAACAATTTGGACTAAAACGATGTGTCCTCCCCAAACAGTATTTCACAGGGGAGACATTCGCGCTGCAAGATCTCCCCGTCACCTCTCCCCCCCCCCAACCCGGTCGGCAGAGTGCCCGGCGGAGGGAGATCCCAAGTGTTGCAGGCTATCGCTTTAACTCGATCCCACAATTCCTCGGTCTAACTAACTACACTGGTTCCGGGTAGACACGTTAAGCCAGACGACGACTGTGGCGCCGGTCCCCCCCCCCTCCCCCAAAGTATAACATCGCACCAACCACCTTACTCGACATCGCATCCTCCAATCAAGGGCAGAATTAAACACACACATAAACATTTTGAAAGCACCGTTTCTTGTGTGTCAAATAGTCCAGCACCACAGAGCCCAGTGATTATTTCAGAAATTTTCCCGGGGGGGGGGGGCCACTTCAGACTTTCGGTGGGGGGGGTGGGGAGGTGGTGCACGCGGGAGTTTTTTTTTTGTGGGCCTTTTTTGTGCCCGGGGGGGGCCCTCTGGCCTCCCCCCCCCCCCCCCCGTGGGGATTAGTGCCCCCCCCCCCCGCCCCGGAAATATAGCTGAAAGAAACCCTTCAAGAGCCCCAGAACTTTTCGTGGGCCCTAGCAGCACCACCAGATTCCCAGACATTCTCGTGGGTCGCAGGTAGTGACCCTAACTGTCACTTTCCAATTGGAAAAGATGTATATTTTTAAACAAATTCTATGGATTTCCAGAGAAAGGGAAATGTTAAAATAGTGTCCAGGCGAGTAAAGTATTAACGAGTTCTGATTAAAAATGTTAAAAATTCCAACTCCCAACAAGACTTGTTTATAATTAAAATAACCACAGCTTCTATTTCTTTTTCTTCCATTTTTTTTTTTTTTTTTTTAAATCTTGGCGTGTCATTAATACTTTCGTAGGCCGTAGGCGCTGTGTCTATGACTGGCTTATGTTTCAAGAAAGTCCCCGAGCAACACGCCACCCCCCCCCCCACGCCCACCCACCACACTGCCGGTAAATATTTACCGGGCTACCAGAGGCTACGACGCCGTGGCCAGCACTTCTGGCGAGGCCGGCTGTACAACTGTGGCAGCGAGGAGGCCAAGCCAGTGGAACTGCTGAGCGAATCTTCCGCTCGTGCCGAGACTTGACGACATGATATCGATCTGTTTGATTGAAAACAAAAACGGGGGGAAAAAAATAATGGTTATTTTTTGTTGCACTGGCAGCATTGAAGTACTGAATTTTTTTTTTTTTTACCTAACAGTAAACCTTTAATAAATAAATGTTTTGTAGAAGTAAGCCGAAGAAATAATATTTTATTACTTGGGTTGATCAGTGGCGTAGAAAGGGTTAGTGCTACCCAGGGGAGGGAGGGGTCGGTTTCGGAGGAGGGAAGTTTTTTCCCGCCCTTCACCTATGGAAAAAAAAAGAACCCTCTGCAGTTGGCCGTAAATGTCGCCCCAAACTGATCCCCGTCAAAAAAAAAGAAAAAGTTCGGCCCGGTGCGCACCGCCCCCCCCCACCTATTACGTATCATAAGTGGCACACTTTATGGCCTGTTACTTTGAATATAACCACATTTGAGAAAATAATATCGTCAAAGTTGGATGAAAATGAGTGTATTTAGATCAGCAGCTCTCAAACTCCAGGTCACGACGCCTTTGGGGTTCGAACGATCCTTACAGTGGGGTCGCTTAAAGACAATCGTAAAACGCTTATTCATGAAGTAGCAACGTAAAAAATTTGATGATTTGGTGGTCACCACAGCACGGGGAACTATATTAAAGGGAAGCGGCAGTAAGAAGGTTGAGAGCCACTGATTTAAATGAAGATTGATCTCTCTAAACTAAATGTTTTATTATGCTAGACCACATATTATTAAAGGATAATGAGAATATATAAAAGAGTTTTATGACATTCTGTTAATGCTAAACTGCTTAAGAATGACCCGTCGGCCCCCCTTTAAGCAGGGCCACTCGAAGGAGGGCGGTAGAAGAGGGCATTCCAACCCGGGCGCCGAAAATAGAGGGCGCCAAAATATCCTTTAAGATATGACCTTATTAGTGAATTAAACTATAAAATCCCATGTTCTTCACAAAGTCAAGGGGTGCCAAAATGCTCTATTTACTGGTCAGCCTGGCCAGAACTTTTTATTCTATGAACTTAGGGGCGTTATTTTAAGACTTTGCCCTGTCGCCACTTTCCTGGGCACGCTCTGTATTTAAGGCTTTTGAAATTTAACAGACGCATCTTAAAATGGCTGAGTCAGTTTATGATTTATACTTTTATTTTCTGTCATAGTTCAAATTCGCTCAGTCTTAGTTATTGTAAATTAAATTGTCTCAGTCCTAGTTATTGTACTTAAAATGGCTCAGTCCTAGTTATTGCAATTAAACTGGCTCAGTCCTAGTTATTGTACTTAAATTGGCTCAGTCCTAGTTATTGAACTTAAATTAGTCCAGTCCTATTTATTGCACTTAAATTGGAGGATTTAACCCACCAGTCTTTCCCTATGACCCATTCGCATCCCTCCTACACACACACACACACACATTCAACGCCCCCCCCCCACCCCCCTCGGCATGGACCTAGTCGGGCCCAAGTAAAATCTTCACCGAGGTATTGAAATCGTGTTTCTCCGGAACTAGCTGAGCGAGATCGATAAATAGAATCCAGTCTTTTGGGTCACGCCATTGAGAACTCGGCCCTGGAACAGTCGGACAAGTGTAGGCAGTCGGCCACAGACCAACGCTGGCCAGAACATGGCGGACAGTCTACTCGGCCGTGGGGGATACACATTCGCTCCTCAGGGTCAAGCTTCTGTGGAGGTAAGTTGTTGTTAAGAGGTTTGTAGTTGTGAGAGAGTGGTGTTGTGATGGTAAGGCTGTTGCTATTGGTCCTGGTCTAGCGTTGTTAAGGTATTGCATTGGCAATGTTATGGTTTGATTACGGCATTGTTAGGGCAGTGATGTGGTGTGTGTGTGTGTTGCGGAGAGAGCAGTGTTATGGTACCGGTATTATTTTTGCCCAGTTATTTAACTGATTATGTTATTGTGTCGTTATGGTCATGAAATGGTACTGTATTGGTAATGTTACGTTTGGTTATGGAATGGTTATGGTAGTGATGTGGTGTGTGTGGGGCAGATAAGGTAGTGTTAGGGTGCTGATACCACTTTGCCTAGTTATTTTACTCATCATGTTATGGTAATTTAAGGGCGTCGTTATGGTTCAGAAATGGCAAGTTTTTTTTTTAATGTTATGGCTATGTTATATAATTTGGAAGTGATAAGGTTTTGTTGTACCCATTAAGGATTTGATATAAATTAGTTATGGCATTGTTATGGTGACCGATAATAAAATGCAAAATGCTATTTCATTGAGAATGTTATGGTGTCGTTATGGTGTTGAAGTGGTGTTGTTTGTCATGCGATGCTGGTGTATCGTTATGGGATTGGTTACATTTACTGCTTGACATTTGTGTAGATGTGTTTGTTGATGGGACACTGATGTTGAGAATTAATATGCTGCACTTTTTATAATGGATTAGCTATGACGTGGCGTCTTAAGGCTTTTGCCAGTGAGACGTGTTGAGTCGTTGAATTTTAGAAGAAAGATCTGGCTGCCAATAAACGAGAAATTCCTTCACAGTGTTTTTGTCATTGATCATCTCGAAGCCATATAAGTCAGACTGACAGTTACAATGTCAGGAATTCATGTTGCTCTTGAAGCCATATAAGTCAGACTGACAGTTACAATGTCAGGAATTCATATAGCTCTTAAAGCCATATAAGTCAGACTGACAGTTACAATGTCAGGAATTCATGTTGCTCTTGAAGCCATATAAGTCAGACTGACAGTTACAATGTCAGGAATTCATACTGCTGATGTAAAGGGTGTTTATTATGTATGCGATCAGGGATATGGGCCAGAGGACCGGCATTGGACCCAGATGAGAGGCTCGCCATTGTTACTGAGTAATCAATAACCATGGCTTGCGATTGAAATACATATATAGGTCAATAGCTACTGGAAGCTTTAGTGTAATGATTATAGTTACCCAGATGTGCATACGTATTCCGCTAACTGTGTATATTGTATAGTCGTCCAGATGTTGAAATCTGATTGAACTTTTTTAATAGACACACACTTTTCATAACTTTCTTAGCTTTACTGCATACCTGTTTACCCCCTGGCTAGTGTCAGATTAGTAATAAGCTCTCAAAAACGGAGTTTAGAACCCCAAAGAGTAGTTTGGACCATTACTATTAGTGTGACACAGTTTGGGAGGGGGGGTAGAGGATAGGGTTACAATTAAAATACAAGTTGCGCCAGAAAATGGGCTCAGCTGCTTGGCTGCCTATGTAAGTTAACATAATAAAATCTACAAGTTACGTTTCTCTGATGTGTTAAAGGAGTTCGTTCAGATTCGATCGCACATGGTGCTAGCCCAAAAAATGCGGTAACTTTTTACTTGTAACACCCAAATTTTTAATTTTATTAAAAAAATAATCCAAAGAAAGGGAAAGACTCCTGAAACCGTCGTAGTTTTAGGTTCGTCGTAGCGGCGTAGTCTTGGGCTTAAAAACGTATAGTTACTACAGCGAAAGCATAGGGTTTAACGGGTCTGGTTTACTGATTCCTTGCCGTACTCCGTTTAACTTATAATGAAAACTAAATTAGCTGACTAGCGTTGGTTTATTATTGGCTGGGTCTGTGGAGAGGGTGGTCTGGCCCGGGCGGCACTTTATATTAAGGGGCGGGATTTTCGGACAAATGCAGTTGTTTTTTGGTTTTTTTTTCGTGTTAGCGTTCGGTGTAGGAAATCTTGGCCCACCCTGGGCGACACTAACCCCAGCTACGCCAATGATTGTTATACACACAAATATATACACAGTATTACAACTGCCCCTGGCTGAATGTCTTGGAAAAGTCAATTGTAAATGACCAGTTTCTTGTAACGCTTATTATTAGACTATACCTGACAATGACTGATTTCTTATAATACCAATTCTAAGTCTGTACCAGAAAATGACTAACTTCTTGTGAAGCTAATAATACTTCTTTACGTGACTCTGACTTAAGTTTTGTAATACCAAAATCAAATTTCTGAATCTGGCAAACGTAAGCTTGAATCAAACATTCATATTTGTTGGATGGCTTGCTTGTAGCTTTGAAGATACCTACCACTGGGGACCCTCAACCGTATCACAGCCTTATTTAAACATAGCTTTGTTGTACTTTGACCCAAATTTATGTACAGGGTTCCCCCCAGCGAGCCCCTCTGCCTAATTGCATGCCCGATGAAGCCCTTTATCGCTTCAACAGAACAGGTATTCGTATCACGCGTCATAGCGTTTACGTTATAGTTTACATTATCCGGAAACCGTGCCACTGAAATTTTGAGTGTCACTTTGTATTTTGGCCCTAAAGCCGTTTCAAGAATCGGTGCGGAGTTTGAAGCAGTTCGTTGCGAGAAAAGCCATTCCACGCAGTATTCTATAAAAGCGACATAGTTGTCATAAAAACAATTCAAATTCGAATTAGGACGCTTGACTGGTTTGGTGGTAAGACAAGTTTCATCATATGGTACGTGCACAGCAAGAGCCCCCAATATAAATTATACAGTACTTGCAGTGTAGTGCTGGATGTATTTTTTTTTTAATAAGTAGGACCTGCTAGCATTTGTAACGTAAAATATGATGTGCAAATCCTCGCCCCCCCCCCCTTTTTTTATTACATAAAAAAAATTTTTTTTTGGCATAATTCGATGGAACCAGATTAATTTTGTCGTAAATAGGCACTAGTTATACTTAATCACAAACTTTTAGTTTAAAAGTTTTAATACACATAATATCCTTGCACTACTGTATACGCACGGTTATATTATAGCGCGATGTAGCGACTCCCTGGCCTATTTTTTTAACTTCAACATTGAGCTATTTGTAGCTTCCTAGCATTTTAGCCCTAGTATGGCCTTGATATTGACTTCACCGAGTAAATGTGCCGTACCGCCTCTTACCCACCCCACCCTTGGTTCGAATAAGGTTGTTAAATTCGAATGTGTTCCATTTGTTCCAAAAAAAAATGTCATTAGGTGAAGCAATTTCTAGAATTTCTTTACTAGAGAGGTTGGATTTAATTCCTTTATAACCCCCGACCTTTTTTATAAACAGATATACGGAGCGAGACAGAGATAGAGAGGGAGAGATTGTTTGCTATACGAGACGCTTTATGATTGTGTGTGTGTGTGTGTAAATAAATATTTGAATTTTTAGGGGGGTACCCTTTTCACTTGCTGTAAGCTGATAGAGTTTTTTCTTGGTTTTTTCTGTACTTGAATTTTCATTTTTTATTGAAATGTATTGGTAAAATCAAATTGATTGTTGCTAGTCTCAGCAGCTACTAATAGTATCTTTTTCTCTACACAACGTTTCCTCAGTCCCTAATTACATATTGCTTTTTCTATTAGCAAAATGTTAATCCAGAAAAAAAATCTTCTAAACCACAACAGGACGTAACACCCAGATTACCTTTCCTGTTAACAGTACAGCTATGGGAATACTGGTATTGTGGACCTTGCTGGTCCCTAGTATAATTGTATAACTTAGAACGTTAACGGCAAAAAAAAAAAAAAAGCAAAACAACCTCCCTTTGAGTGAAAGAGTCGATGCGAATTATGATTATTCAATCCTTATGTTCAGACACGCAATGTACTGGTATTAATGGCAATTAAATTCTGTACCGTTTCAGATGAATGGACATAGTCACGTGTCGTTGCCCATCTACTCGAACAAGACGGTACAGAGAGCACCGAGGTCCAGCAACATGCCAAGCTACGGTGATGCTACGGGCGACAACCAATCTCTGGTCAGCAAGCTTAAGGCCCACTACAAAAACCGCTCGGCGACGGACACCAACTCCAAGCATTTCTTCAGGATCCTCTTCCAATTCCAGGCCATCACTCAGCTCTACATGACCTTGAACTACATCATCCCTTACGTTTTCTCGGAATTCGAACCCACCAGCCAGTACTACCTCAAGGTCTTCGCTTGCTACGTGTTCACCATGGGCCAGGCCAACTGGCTCTGTTCAATCTGCTACTCGAGCCGGCTACCGGACATGCGGGACCGGCCGAATCTCGATTTCAGAGAATGGTTCGAGAACCCTCCCGAAACCTTCGGCCAGAACGGGATCATCAAGACGAACCTGCACACCATGGACGAAAACGGGTTGGAGTGGAGGTACTGCAGCAAGTGCGAGCGCTACAAGCCGCCGAGAGCTCACCACTGCGACGCCTGCAGGATGTGTGTCCTCCGCAGGGACCATCACTGCTTCCTGATTGGGAAATGCATCGGCCACTTCAACCAGCGGTACTTCATTGTCTTCTGCTTCCTCGGGGTCTTCACCGGACTCATCGGTTTTATCCTCACGGTGACCTACCTCATCAGCCTGCCGGACCCGGTCACGTGGGTGGACTACGTGTTCCCGTGGTCGCTGTTCAAGTTTCTCATCGGCAAGGTTTCGTGGCAGTTTGTGCTGCTGACTTTCCACGCTGAGATGCTCGCGGTGTTCGGGGGGATGAGCGTCATCTACGGGATCGGGCAGATGAGTATTGTCTGCCTCGGGTTTACCCTTTACGAGGTAGCCAAGTCGGTAGATGTTAAAGTCACTAGCTCGAGGGCGGAGAACATCAGGATGGTGTTTGGGGACTACTGGGGGCTCAACTTTTTGTTTCCGGCCCAGATACTGTTCAAGCAGCGGCATGACGGGATGCACTACGACAACATCAAGATCGGGAATAATAAAGTCAGTGTAGAGTAGGGTTGAATTCAGTGTGCAGAACGATAAAGTTAGTGTGGGGTAGTATAATATAAGTGTGGACTAGTGTTAAGTCAGTGTGGAGTAGGTATTACTCAGTATGGGACAGTGTTAATTTAGTGTGGAATAGGGTTAATTCAGTATGGAGTAGGTTTAAGTCAGTGTTGAGTAGGGTTAACTCAGTGCGGAGTAGGATTTAGCCATTGTAGAGTAGGGTTAATTCAGTGTGGAGTAGGGTAAAGTTAGTTTGGAGTGGAGTTAATTTAGTGTGGAGTTGGGTTTTGTCTGTTTAGATTAGGTTTAACTCAGTGTGGAGTAGGTTTAAGTCAGTTTGGAGCGAAGTTATTTCAGTATGAATTAGGGTTTAACCAGTCAGGAGTAGGGTTTCAGTGTAGAGTAGGGTTAAGGGAATTTGGAGTAGGTTAAAATCCGTGAGGAGTAGGGTAAAGGCAGTGTGGATCACGGTAAGTTGAATGTCGAGTAGGGTAAAGTCAGCATGGAGTAGGTTATTAAAGTAGTGTGGAGTAGATTAAATCAGTAGGGTGTAGGTTAAAGTCAAGTCAGTGTGGATAAGGTTAAAGTCAGTGTGGATAAGGTTAAAGTCAGTGTGGATAAGGTTAAAGTGAGTGTGGATAAGGTTAAAGTGAGTGTGGATAAGGTTGAAGTCAGTGTGGATAAGGTTCAAGTCAGTGTGGATAAGGTTCAAGTCAGTGTGGATAAGGTTAAAGTCAGTGTGGATAAGGTTAAAGTCAGTGTGGATAAGGTTAAAGTCAGTGTGGATAAGGTTAAAGTCAGTGTGGATAAGGTTAAAGTGAGTGTGGATAAGGTTGAAGTCAGTGTGGATAAGGTTCAAGTCAGTGTGGATAAGGTTCAAGTCAGTGTGGATAAGGTTAAAGTCAGTGTGGATAAGGTTAAAGTCAGTGTGGATAAGGTTAAAGTCAGTGTGGATAAGGTTAAAGTCAGTGTGGATAAGGTTAAAGTCAGTGTGTAAGTGTTGAACGGGAAAGAAACAGAAAATTTACACCGGAGTACAATCATTGTAGAGTATATAGGTAATATCTTTCAATAGCATCTATGACAGTATATCGCCGTGTAACCACCGGTTTAGATGTTTGTGTGTGTGAATTGATTTCTTTCTGGTGGATTCCTGGACAGATAGGACGACGTTTCATTGTCATAAGCATTGAAAAATAACCATTAACATTCACAAGGAAACAAAAAAACATGCCTGTTTTTCAAATGACTTGATTGATAAGAAACTGAATAGAATGAAACGAACTGAAGTAGCACGATCTGTTCAAGCTTTCGTTGAATCTGAAGTGCCACGATCTGTTGAAGCTTTCGTTGAGCTTGAACTGCTCAGACCATGAAAGTGAATAATTTAGAATAATATTTGCATATCCGTGTGACACGTTGAAAATGTGATACCTAAATACTTGGAAAAATGTGTTGCTTTTCTCTCCACTTAGTGCCATATATTTTGATACGTGTTTGCTGTGCTGTTATATTAAAGTAGTAGCCAAAGCTCAGGTCTCAATGAAGGGAACGTAACCAGGATTGCCCGACAAAGGGATTCAATCACATTTAAAAATAATTATAATTGCTTTTCCTTTTATCATAATATCTAAAAAAAATTTGAAAATAAGAATAAACATTTTTTTTTTCATATGAAAAAGAAAATAAACAAGTATTAAGGCCTGGTGCATATGGTCATACATGTTTGACCTTTGACCTTGTGGGTATAGCTCATACAAAATGCAACATGTTGACGAAGGTCTAACACTAGTAGTGGAAACCAACTGGGTGGGTGAGTGAGACTTAATACATTAAATTTATCGTTATGTCGAATACTCAATACATCGCCTCAACTTCCAAACAGCACGATTCCCGATCGCAACATGGTCTTGTCAAGAACCGTTCTTTCACATCATTTTATTTTTTTTTTTGTTCTTTGTTCAGTTCCCGTTAATGTAATATAAATTACTCATGATTTTAAATGTCGCATTGGTGTGGAGATTGGCGTGTTATGGGAAATTTTGAAATTGTTGTTAACAATTTGTGTGTGCCAATAGACGTGTGACAGTAGACCTGTGACAGTAGAAGTGTGACAGTAGAAGTGTGACAGTAGAAGTGTCACAGTAGACGTGTGACAGTAGAAGTGTGAAGTAGACGTGTGGCAGTAGACGTGTGGCAGTAGACGTGTGACAGTAGACGTGTGGCAGTAAACGTGTAGCTGTAGAAGTGTGACAGTAGACATGTAACAGTAGAAGTGTCACAGTAGACGTGTGGCAGTAGAGGTGTGGCAGTAGACGTGTGATAGTAGACGTGTGACAGTAGACGTGTGACAGTAGCGGTGTGACAGTAGACGTGTGGCAGTAGACGTGTGACAGTATAAGTGTGACAGTAAACGTGTGACAGTAGGGGTGTGGCAGTAGAAGTGTGGCGGTAGACGTGTGACAGTAGACGTGTGACAGTAGACGTGTGACAGTAGACGTGTGGCATTAGACGTGTGACAGTAGTCGTGTGACAGTAGAAGTGTCACAGTAGACGTGTGACAATAAAAGTGTGACAATATAGGTGTGACAGTAGACGTGTGACAATATAAGATTGAATGTAGAGGTGTGACAAATGAAGTGTGTCAGAAGACGTCTGGCAATTGAAGTGTGTCAGTAGACGTGTTACAATTGAAGTGTGTCAGTAGACGTGTGATAATAGACGTGTGACAATAGAAGTGTGACAGTTAACGTGTGACAAATGAGTTTTTCTTCCAACCTGATTTTGTTTGGTTATATTGAAAATCTTACTTCTGACGCTGAACTCATCAATGACATAAAAATTTTGCACTAAATGTGTTAGTCTTTTAACAATATCTATAAATATTTAAATTTCAAATATTACTTTGTTAGGTAATGAATGTAAAATAATACCCCAATACTTGCACTGATATATAATTTTAAGCTGTTTTTAAGTTTTTTTGTTTTTTTTTTTTAAATTGTAAAGAAAAGAAAATAATTTTTGAAGACCATGTTATATTATAATGTGTATGTTTCGCCCACTGGAGAGCTTTAAAGACAAGGACAACGTGATACGACCATGGTTGCATTAACTATTTTTTAACATCGAGTACGAACGTTTTAAGCTTGGCTTCGTAATTATGATGTATCAATGGATATAGGATCTTTCCTGTGGAGCTCAACCACGTGATGTTATGTTTACATTACATTGGATTCCATCATGTCTATTGATGGGGATATCTCACGCCTTACATGATGAATAGTAAAGTTGAACAGCGGCATGTCTCATCCCATCGGACTTTGTGTCTTGACAAGTCTCTTTGCTTGACTGCTGTGGGGAAGCTTCCACATATTTTAGAATGTTTGATTTAAAGAGCTTAAGAGTGGAAGAGAGAGAAAGAGATAGAGAGAGAGGGAGGGAGATATGCGGTGAGAAGGAGAGTGGAAGAGAGAGAGGGAGGTGGGGTTCTTCTCTTGTGTAAAAACAAACATTGGAACACAGCTTCGACAATGAAGACTAATGCAGCTAAATTTATACTAAAATGTCCTTGTGTAATTAAATGTTTTGAACAAATATAATGTTTAACAATCGAAATGCCCACGTTTCAATTCAATGCTGATGAATACAGTACTTCAAACATCGATACTCAATAAACGTGTTCTTATATAACCAATGTATTTTAGTGTCATTTTAAAACATAAACATTGTCAGCGCTTAAATGATAGCTTCCAATAAGAATTATTAAGACAAGCTTTTCTTATAGTGTTGTGAACTTTAGTTGTTTCTCTGTTTAGTTAACTTATAAAAAATTAGACCCAAAAATTAATCACGGCAAAATAATGTTGTGTTACGGTTCAGTGCACACAAGTCACAAACAGCAGGGTCTCCGCAGATCTATCGTGTAAAAGCAAATAGGGCAAGTGAAGAACTAAGAACCGATGAGTGTGTTTTTTTTGGACATTTTCTTGCGGTCTTTTCACCCGATTTTAGGAAAACTTTTTCGCGGAACCGGAGTTTGGAACGGAAGCTGAGTTAGTAAAAAGTTTAGAAAACAGTAACTTATAATAATTGCGTCATGTAAGTTGTTGAAAGCACTTCAGTTAAAAAGTTAGAGAATATTTTTCGGGCACCCCGGTTGTAAACCTCTGTACCGGAGACTTGAAGTATTGTGTCCCTATTGATGTACTGATCTCAGTAAATGAACTGTTTTGTTACTCAGGAGGCAAGTGATCCCCTCCCGTTAGCGTGGCGAACCTGGACATCTACCCAGAATGTCTACAACTTCAGAAATATATCTTTGGAAACTGGAATAACAACAAGAACAAGAACGTAGTCGTTTCGCCAGAACGTCTTCCCCCTCAATTTTAAATTTAGATAAAGCGAGAGATTCAGAATCAAGTACATCGTTAATTCGTTGACAGACGAAGTGTAAAAGTGTGTACACTGCTCTGATGTTGAGTAAACGAAGGTAAACTCTTGTAGTGAATGTTCACCCAATGGATTGTTGAATGCAGGCATTCGTGGCAAACTGAAGTTAATTCATGGCTCTGTTATCAAAAACGTTGGGTTTTTATAATGTGGGAACAAAACAAAATAGACAAGGCTCAAATTATTTCATAAGACGGTCTCATATTCTCAGGAGCCAACCTCCTTCTTTGATCAGGCAAACCCGTTCTTTCATCAGTCAACCCTTTTCTACAAATAGCTTGAAACCTGAAAATAGGAATTTTTTTTATGATTACAAAAAATATATATTTTTTTACAAATCATTTGCATTTAGGTATTGGCAAAGTCTTAGCGCAAGCCAAATAATGATGGCACTGTACTGCCTCGGAACATACAGTATACACTTAGACTCTAAGCTGTTGATTGTTTAGAGTCTGCATAAAATAAGCTGCCCAAAATCTGACCAAAACACAATCAAACAAACAAACACAGTAACTCTGAACACAAACTTTATCACACAGAACAACTGTTTTCTAATGAAACTTTGAAATTTGAGTTGAAAACTACAATGTTTTAAAATGTTTACCAATGATCCTGCACGCATCCTATATAAACTTTGTAAAGCCAATTTTGTGTTGTACGATGAGTTGTTGGAGTTTAGACTCAGTCCGGTGGAGCTGACTATACAGACACGAGGACATAAATGCATACACTCACAGATACACTCAAACATACACTGACACATACTTTGACACATACACCGACACATACACTCACACATACCCTCACACACACAAACACACAGACTTGCAATAAACCAACAAAGGTAAGAAAAAGGGTCTGTCATTTTTTTCTTTTCAAAAAAATTTAATAAGACTTAAACAAACATTACACAAACACGTGTGGAAAAGGTTTTTATAATTAGGTTCTAAATTAAAAATGTGATACTTAAATACGAAAATAACTCAAGGCAGTGTCGTCAGTAAATTACTTTATTTCATAGAAGGGTAACCGCAAACGAAACTTAGATAAATATGCATCAGTATCACGAAATAATTGTTTTATTTAACGGTTACATGAGGCATTAGAGCACTTCAAAAAGTCATATCATTCTAGCGATAACTTAAAAAACATATATATACTTAGGAATGCTTTTCTCCTGAATTTCTTTCTATGTGATTTCGACTGTATAATCCACAATGGTAGTGATAACAGAACTAGGTAATATATTATTTTAATAAAGGATATATTATTAAAAAACACAAGTCTGCGTGCCATCGAGCAGATACCTCCATCTGGGGTTACGATCTGAGACAAATTAAGCCGTGAACTCTGTACACAAAGTACACCGT